GAGAGCTCGATTTTACAGCAAACGTTCATTTATGTGCCATACTTCTGAAAGCAATGACTACAAGGAGCTGACATCAGGGCTACAGCAACAAGCTGCAACATTCCTACCAAATTTATGATTAAGTTCTTAGGTTACTTGTAGCTGCTCCAACAGTGTGAAATTAAGGAGGAAGACACACAAAAAAATCAAAGCTTACACTGTGCTCACAAAAGCAATGGAGACACAATGCCCTCTCAAGGAACGAATTGTTTATTTGAGGGAGATGCTCTAAGTTCACTTGGATAAAAAATATGGGCATATTCAAATACATTTTACTTAACTATTTGCAATAATAATACTTTATAAAGTAAACTCTCAATCTGGAAAAGAGTAGTTGATAAACTCAGACTTTTCATGATTCACTAACTTGAAGAAACTTTTGCTTGAGCATCTAGCTTTCCCTTCAGAAACCAAGATTCTGGTGTCATGCAGAAAGGAATCTGTGTCTGATGAAACTTATAGAGAAAGAGTGAGACAGCCCATGGAATATTTTGGCTCCTAGAACTTGAGTAGCAAACTTACCCTCTACATATTCAACATTAAGATAAAATTAACTTGTTTTACTGATTTATATTGGCATCTGTCAAGAAGAAGACAAGGCTCATTCTGAACAAAAATAAAGAAATTAAAAATTCAGGAGGCTAGATCACGGCTGGGCCATGGACTCTGTGGTCCTTGCCCGTAACCCCAGCCCATAACACGTGCCATCCTCAGGGTGGAAAAAGTCAGTCTTTCAGAATTCACTCAGCCTTGAAAAACTTCCCTCCGTTGTTTCTATAACCCAGATACTTTAGTAGTGCATGCTCTTATATACAAGTTCTGGAAATGATAGTATGAAGTACTTCCTAGATTGGGGTGATAGCCTTTATTGTTCCATCATTTAGTTGGATTTGAATATATATGTAAGTGATAAGAAAATAATGTTGTTTATATTTTCATATACCAAAAAGGTGAAGCAGAAAATATTCTCCTACCTTTCCCTTAAATGTTGGTGTTTCCCCTGGGCCTTGACACCTGAGCGTCTCTTTCCTCTTTCCATGCATTCCTCAGACAAACTCATTCAGTTGGTTGAATGGCTTAAACCATTCTTCTTTCTCTTCCTCTAACCCCACCTACTTCCTGAGTTTTGATTCCATGTTTCCAACTGCCCACTGACATCTCTATCCGGGTGACTCACCAGTACCTCAGACGTACAATGTTCACAGTTTTCAAACCTGTCCATCTTCTTCATTTCCACTCATTTGTTCAAGTCAGGAACCTCAGCTATACTTAATTTTTCTCTCTCCCTTTCATTCTCCTGAGACATAGAATCAAAATATCTGGGCCTGTCTTCCCTAAACCATTGATAGGGTGTGGCAAAGAGGGAAGGGGCCTTAGCTATTCCTTCAACTGCTTTCCTTAAAGTTCCTGCGTTTTTTCTCTCAGCACAGACACGACTGGTGATCAGTGAAGTATCAGTGGCTTCCCTTGGGCCTTGGCTTGCTGGCACTGGGACACCATCATGTCCTTTCAGAGAGAAGTTGCAGAGCTCAGCTTGGGTCTCAGAGCATCACTCAACGAGAAGACATAAAGGCTCAGTGCACGAAGCGCTTCCTTCTTTGTTTTCTTCTGTTAAAAACGGCACCTGATTCTCACTGTTTCTACTCCCCAAGATGTTAGTCAGAAGGTCTTATCTTTCACTGGGTGTTTACTTCTAAGATCCTTTCGAGAACAATGTGGGTATGGGTGAGAGGAGGTTGGGGAGAGAAGGCTAAATATTATTGACTGAACCATTTTATTTTGCTTAGAAAAACCAAATTTAGTATTTTGTATCCAGGTCTTGATGACGAAAACCAAGTTATACTACCTCAATTATTTAAAGCAGAACATTTTAAAACATTACATTTTCAGTTTGACTTTTAACTTTTAGCTTTTCCCAAGATGAAATCATCAAATAATATTATGAAGGAAATCCCTCAGCTTCCAAATGCTGTTTTTGTTTTTGTTTTTTTACTCCATTTATTCTTTCTTCTACAGCCTTACATCAGTATATTAACTGGGACTGCCATCATTCCTAACATAGACTCTAGTTGCCTCCTAAATCTTATCCTTGCTTTTTCCGAGCCATCATCTTCATTGGCACCAGAGAACACAGATTTATACTTGTCATTTCTTTGCTTACAAACCTTTATTGGCTCCCTTTCATCCCCAGGCTCTGAGTTTCTTAGTGCAGCACAACCAAACCTGTTTACCGTCTGGTCGCGACATCTCTTTCCATGCTCCCTCCATGAGAGCTACGCTCTGCTCTTCCTGTCCCTCAACACATCATGCCCTTCTATGACTTAGGCTTTCACACAGGCTATTCCCTCGAATGGAAGATCATGCTCCCTTCTCCATTTTACCTTTAACTTTTGCCTTTTGTAAAGCTTTTCTTGTCTCCTCCAGGCAGACTTGGCTATTCCTCCTTTAGAAATATTATGATAGAGCAACGGACTTTCTATTGCATTGAAATGTTGGTGTCAGCCTCCTCCTAATACTCTGAGCAAGGTGATGGCAAGGACCAAAGAGAAGATTCATCCTTATGGTTCTTCCTCTGAGTCCGGTAACTGGGGTGCTCATGTTTCCTGTGCCTAGAAGTCAATGGGTTGGTTCCAGCCAGTAAACTCCTGTGTACCCTCTGATCTTCATTACAATCAGACTCACACGAAGGGCCTAGCTCTGGGGATTCTAGTACCCACCAGAGGGTAGCATTTCTGACCCACTGAGCAATATCTCTCTTCTCTTCCCATTTTGCAGCACTAGGTTTCAGTCTAGGGTCCCTTTCTTCCCAGTAGAAAGCCTGGCCCAGTGTCTGGAGACTGCCTTTACTGTATCCATCTTGAGCCCTCTCCTTTGACTAGGCACTTCGTCTTCTACTCTGGGGTGGAACTTCTTTTATGTAGCTTCTTCCCATGGCTCTGCCGCAGCAGACAGATCCTCAATATTGAAAGTCTCATGGATTCTCCACTGCTTGGTCTTGACTAAACTCCACAGAGCTGGCCACACCAGATCATGGATGAATCTGGCCTATTTCCTTCCCTTACTCTAGTCTTCGAGTATGGACTGATTCTTTTTAAGAAGCTGCTTTCTTGGCCAGTTTTCATAGCTAAGGTAGCTTGTCATCTACCCAAATGTGATGAATTTGCTTGGGCATGATCTTCTACCCCACAAGGTTTTGACCAAGGATTTAAAATATATCACACTGTATTCTCAAATGCCAAGCTTAGTACAGTGTATATAGTAAGCACTTTCTTTTTGAATCAATTGATATTAAATTGCAGAAACTGCTAACAAAATTATATGGACAAATCTTTATATCAGAAAAATCTAAATCCCTCAATTTATATTCTAAAATTTAAGGGCATGTATTTGAACTGCTTTGGGTCAGCTTTTATCAGGCAGGATAAATTACCAGAGTGGATAGCACAGTCATCAAAGGGAATTTCCAGGGAGTAAAACATTCAAGACGAAAGCATGACAAATTTCTCTAGTGTTTAACAACTTAGAACAGCTAGAATATTCTTCTTCATTCCTTAATAAGGCTCTGTGGTAATTTAAGTCAACAATTTCTTCTTTTATCAATCACCATCTGCTTTTCTTTACAAAATGTAATTTTCCCCTCTATCTCTTACAACTTCTTCGTGTTCTTAAACCTTTACATTGTCTCTTCTCATTTTCTCTAAAGCCAATCTTAATGGCCAAGAATAATGCAGGGATATTTTGTTCTGTTTTATTCATTCATTTTTTCTGGTTTATGCTTTAGTAGTCATTTTCAGGCAACTGGATGTTTATCAGCTATGAAATGTGCTAAACTAGAGGGGCTTGATTTGGAAAAACAAGAGACTCCCCAACCCCAACCCCAACCCAATCTACTTCTAGGGGGACCAGGTGGGACACTTCCTTTTTGCTTCTCAATGTTCTGTTCAAGTCCCAACTGACTCAGGATCATCCTAAGTGTCTTATACGCCTTCTGTTTGCTTGTGATTCGGCAAGTGTAACCATTGCAAGAACTGCACATTTAAGTGGCTCAGGAATACATATGTTTTGGATTTTATTCTCCCACAAAGAAAGTTTATAGGATAAGAATGAAACTAAGGCGGAGTCCTAAACTTCATTCACCTGCCGATACATTAAAGTATCCATTACAAATATCCTATGAGGTTTCGGTGTGTAAGTTTGTTGATTGTTTGGAAAGACATATTTGGATTTCTACAAGCTCATGGAGAATAAATACCCTATAGAAGAATGATGATTGTGAACTAAGCCAAAACTAGGTAGTCATTATTACACAACACTGACAAATTAGGAAATAGATCAGCAAATGTTCCCCAAACACTAATTTTATAGACTTTTAAGCTCTTTCAGAAGTGTTTTTCAAAGGTTCTCACTTGTTATTTATTATTTTTTAAAAAAATTAGTTTCAAGTATACAGGTCAAAGGTTTTTGCTTGTTATTTAATTGTGTTTTTATTTATGGCTAAATTTTAATTGATGCCACTTTTGTTCTTAAGTTTGCTCCATGCAGGCCAGATTAATTTGTTCACTTCTGACATATGAGAAAGCAGACTCTTAGACTAATGAAATCATATCTTTTCATTTCGAAACTGAACACAGAGGAATCTTGCAGTCAGTATCTGCTGACTTTACTCATTTAATTTTTTTTTACAAACCAAGAACTTCCACAAAGCACCACATGGCAGGAGACCAAAGAGCAGCATTTGATTTTTGGGTAGAAACTTCATCAGTGAGTTTTAGCAAAATGGAGGGATTTTTTAGCTTGTTCA